AGAATCTTCCGAAAGCTTCTAGAGAACATTTCCAGCGTCGCGTCTTGCCGATCGATGTTGCATAAGAGCCGTACTGTGGGAAAGAAGAAATAATTGGCGTATACATTCCTTCACTGGTGATCCACTCAACGTACATTAACTCTAATAAGGAGCTTCTCGAATGGGAAATTACATAAACAATCTGAGCATAAAAGGAGACTAGCTTGTCCCTTTTTGCTTGTGTTGTAATGCATTAGGCTAACTGAATCAGGGCTTTCCTGACTTGAGAAAACCAAGAGCAGCCTTCGGAGTTAAATGTCAAAGCTAACACAAATGTGTTTGTGATTGCGATAGATACCGGCAGATCAGGAGGTTTACTGAAACCACCCTAACAAAATACATAAACTCGTTATAAATAACGATTTTGAACTTCCAAAAGCATGTAAAAGCCCAAAATTTTACCTAACCCAAAGAAAGGATAAAAGGTTTCACAAACGATTTCTCCAATTCCTCCCCCAGAACCCCCCCCAAATAGTTCTTGTTATGCCCTTGACAACTAAATAAGCTTTCTGCGAGTTACATTTGAATAAAATCCGGTACACAGAGTTCTTTAAATTCACGTGAACTAAACAATTTGAATTCTCCATACTAACATCACTTTTGGTACGGGCTATACCTAGCAATTTGGGACAAGCTTTTCCTTAATACCAACATAAGAGACGCCTTGTGCCAATACACTGTTTTCAACAGATGACGGCACAAAGGAATCCATTTCAGAGATGGTCGTCGCTATGCAAAAGCTTGCCCGAATCACGAAGTGTAGTCTTGGGGAATGTTCAGGTACAATAAGATAACTTAATAGCGTGCCAGTCTTTATTCAAATTTATTCAAATCCAGGCGTATTGTACAAGTACGTTGTGGTCAAATAAATAAGTATCTAAGTATATGTAATTCATCTATCCCGGTCAACTTTTGACATCATGTTATTATTGCTACGTGTGTGTTTCCTATACCATCATGTGCTGAAGAAATAATTGTAATGACTTTCATCAGCCCTCGGAATTTTACAATTTAAAAATATCAGTTTTTATTTTATCTCATCTTTTTAACATAATGCTTTACAGCTAGTGAGCAAAATATTTGTTCAAAATGCCTTAAAGACAGCGAATATATGTAAACCATCTAAAGATAAAAAAATACAATGAAATAAAATACGTCGCTATAGCAATGCATATCTTCAGTTCTGTTACTTACAAATTACAATATCACAGGTCCAAGGTTTGCTCAATATTAAACCGCCACTAACGCTCGGCAGTTCAATGCAATTTACGTAAAAAAACACTTTTCATTACGAAACTCAAGTGGTATTTGAAACTGCAATGACATTCAGCTTAGACTGTATGTTCATGTACATGCGACTCGTTTGCTTACCACAATGGATTGAAAATAAATGCAGTTTTATCGCCGATGTGCTCATGTGAGTTGGTTGAGTTGAAACAATCAAAGGAGAATCGCTGTGGTTCGCATTACAAGCCTTGTGTTGGGGCAGATAATGATGTTTATGCATTGCTAGTGCTAGTAAAACGGGTTCGTATTGGTTGGGTGTGTTACAATATGGGAGAAAAATAGATTTTTCTATCCGAGAGGAGTTGCGGCCGAGAGAAGAGTGCACCATTATGCAACGCTGCATAAAGCCTCTATAAACATTGGACAATCCAAACTCTGTGCATTGCTAACATTTTTATGCCAACAATTAAGGTTTACAAAATTGCGCATTTATCAAAATATTTATAGATCGAAATGTAATCATGAAAGACTATGAAAAGCATTTCTAGCTACAGTGTACTTAAAAAGTACAAAAGGTTACTTTTTGAAGTGCAAAACCGACAGGCGTTCTATATCTATGGTAACAGCCTCTATTATACACGTTGGCTCCAATACTGTCTAAAGCCTTGTGTGATGTCAAGACTCCTTGACCGTCCAGTAGGACTGGCGTAAGCCAGCTATTGCTATTATTACTTGCCTTGAAGATGCTCCTGCAAAGGTGAATAAAACAACAAGTCATTTCCAAGCCCTATAACATGCCGTGTCTGGTTACTTTCTCATGAAATGATATTCCACTCTCATCACTCTGGCAAATACTGTAACGAATTCCCCGTGGCAGATGTAAGTTTGAACGAAAGTTGCATAGAATAAACATGTCTCCGTTCCCAGGAAGTTGATGCATGCATAAGAAGTAGTACGCTATTTTCTACAGGAGGAGGTAGATATAATGCTTTAAATTTGCTCCAACTACGGTTGTTTTTTCCTAGTAAAAGTATGACCAGAAAAGAGTTTTTTTTTTTTTTTTATAAACCACTTGAGACTAGAGTTAAATCATACGTACAATCTTTAACAATAGTAACCTTTCATTAATTTCAACTATCAAAAGCACAAATTGGATTAACCTGTGCAAGTTCGGGGATAGAAAGGAAAACATCGCGCCAAAAATCGTCCCTAGTCTAAATCGGAAAGGCTCCAAATTCTCGAACAGTGTGGAAAAGCAAAGCAGAGAATGCGGTCAGAAAATTGCAGCCATTTCGGTACGCCTTCGGAGTGGCCGCTACTGAGGACATCACCGATAACTGCTCCGAATTACACAATGAACAGACACGGTCGAGGAGTGTCATTAACAGGCTGTGACTTTTTCAACAAATGACGTTACAAATCGGCACCCAATTCTGCACCCCAATCCCACAAAGCAAGAAATGAGACCTAGGGGTACCCCCCCCAACATGTCCAATCGCTACACACACTCTGGACTATTGTTACCTAACACATCCCCTCTAGATGTCTGAAAAGAATTCCTCAGATTCCAGTGAGACAATGACCGACACAGAGCAGGGGAGGGTTCTCTCTGTCTCGTCTCTCGCTTCATATGCCAAATAAGCCACACCGGAGATTACATAGCCAGCAAGGTATGAGACGGACATAACCCCCCCCCTGCTTTGTGTTGGTCATTGTCTCGCAGGAAT